TGTGTGTGTGTGTATTCCCAGTTGTTACTCTGTAGACAGATAGGATTGGACATCAGTTCTTACAGGGTTTATGCTTAATTGCGAAACCTAATAGAAGCTACAGAGCTCCTTTGACACACACACACACACACACATACACGTTCACATACAGCATTTTCACAAATGCATATGGTCAAAATTCAGTCACATCATCATAGACTACATGCACATTCAAAAGTGAAAACACACAGACACACATGGTCTCGTAGCTTGGCAAATGCTACTTGAGCTGAAGTGCTGATGCACTCCCCCGTGTGTGTATTTACGCGTGTTCCCATCCTCGCTCGTGCTTTGCTCCGTGAGCCGTGGTGTCGGCCCTGCTCGTGTGGGAACCACAGCAGCCACTCTGGCGGTGACAAGATTAAGACCTACTCGTACCTTCATACGCAGCGCTGCCAACAAGACCGAGCTAAGAAATCAAACACAGCTACACAGTGGCACATGAAATGCATCAGTGAACAGAGCCATTCTGGCTCTGGCTCCGGGGACATTGTGTACATACTGTCGACAGCCGCTTGCAACGTGGGAATTTCAAAGAACATATGGCAGCTTGTCGCTGGGAAACAGCCTGTGACAGAATCTAAATAAGCTAAGAGCTATACGTAGAGAAGTCATTAACTGTCTGTTATCTGCCACGCACAAAGACACACATGTCCACACACGCAAGTCACACAGAAACGCTTACTAATGTGGTTGGCAAGTGATTGTGACAAGCTAGCGATGCTCAAACTGGGTCATTGACAAAGAAAGGCTTCAGTGGAGAAGACAGGTGAGTGTATTTGTATTTTGGGGCAAGGTCAGGGGGCCGGGACTCCCTCACTGCATCAGTGGAGCCAGTAGCTGCACTGGGACAGCAGCAACTGCAGCAGCAGCTGCAGCAGCAATAAAGCTCCCCTACCGTCCAATTGTTTACATCTCTACACTCTGAAGCTCTGCTGCGGTCAAAAACACCTTGTCTGAGACTCTCTCACCATGATCAGTCTCACAAGCTGTGATCAGCACACAGTGTAAAGGAAACGTGGCATAGGTTTTGGTCAACAACATGGGGCAGGACAAGTGCTGGTAAATTTGAAAAAAAACGAAACAAAAACAATGTTACATATATTACATATATTTCCGTTAATCCTGAATAAAACACTGGCAAATCCAGGATCATGGACTCAAGATCGAGCACCAAACTGGAACACAATGTTGTCAATAAGATATAATGGCGTAATGAATAATCACATCGTGTAACTCTATTGTTCTGTACTCTATTGCACTGTTTCTAACTGCATACTTTGGAGTACTGCAGGGAGTATGACAGATTTCTAAAAACCTGGCTGAAAAAACATTTCAAAGGAGGATCATTACAGAACCGCTGCTCTATCGTACAAGGATTTTCAATCAAACCTCTGCAGGTTTAAGTCTCATAAAAGCTCTGGCTTGAGCCCGGAAAGTCAAAAACTCAGCTGTCTCATTACTTGCTGCTCAGTTCTCCACATCCTGACCGGTTGTTTTTACATAATGGCTGAACTGCATATTTAAACATTTCCAGCATTCTTTTAAAAATGTGTTGCCCAGGTTAAGCCGGCTCTCCGGCGCTGCCCTCTCGTCGCGCCGCTCTACGAACACCGAGCAGAGACAGAGACAGAGACAGAGACAGAGACAGAGAGAGACAGAGAGAGATCTCTCCCGTGTCTCATGACCTGCCTATGCACCCGCCCTCCTTCCTCCACCAACATCCCATCCCACTGTTCCCATGGCAACCTTCTCATCTGTTCCCATAGCACCTGCCTGCTGTCCGGGAGACACATGGAGACGTGACACTGACAGATGAGGTGAAAGAGAGAGAGAAACAGGAGACAGAGAGAGAGACAGAGAGAGAGAGAGAGAGAGAGAGAGAGAGAGAGAGAGAGAGAGAGAGAGAGAGAGAGTTGACACCATTCGGGATTTTAAAAACCTGCAGGAGAGATCGGTGAAAACGTAGAAGGACACTCGGACATTTCATATTGCAAGTTGATGCTTTTTGCATCAATAATTGTGTCACTTAAACAGAAAACAAGTTAGAACTCTTCAATGTAATAAACTGGCACCATTGGCCCCCAACTAACCTGAGAGCCGTCAACATGTGGTGCATATGGGCTACAAAATGAGCTCTAAAAAGAGGCAAACACGTTGAGAAAATGTTAAAGTATCCCATTAAAGCGGGGACAGACAAAGCAGACTGAGGGGGATGTAGTTAAAAAAAGAATTGCAATATGTTGAATTAAACCTGGGGAATAATTCTGTAGGCAAATGCATCCAAGCATGAGAACCACAACCTGCTGTCTCCATAAACACAAATACACACACTCGCACACAAACAACAGGGGCTTCACATATAAGATGTATTGAAACAGACACAAAACATACACTTTGCGAAGTTGAGAAACTGGAAGAGAACACCAGTCAAGACTGTGTGTGTGTGTGTGTGATGTTTGAATGTGGAAGCAGCTACTGCAGGAAACTATCGTTTGTTTTATTTGAACCTGAATTTAAATGAACATAGACATAAATACAAATGAAAAACACATTTGAACCATGCAAAATGCAATAAACAATAAAGTTGAGGGAAAGAAAGAGAAGTAGTACAATCTCCCTCCCCCCAAAATAACTGAAATGAAATAATGAATCACAATCAGAAATCTTTGTCATTAGTAAAAAAAAGTGATTCCACCAGAAACAATACTGTATTTGTTTGTACACAAAATAGCAAACTGTATAGCTACAGTAACCAGTTTGTGGAGGTAAACGCAGTTGAGCTGTGGGAGACAAAAAGAAGGGCTGAGCAGACAGGAAAATGGGCTAAGGCAGGCTTTGTGTGTGTGTGTATGAGCGTATGTAGTTAGAGGTGTATGTTCTCTCACTCATATCCTGGGGGAAAACCTGTTGAAGTTTTAAATTAAGGACTTTTGGTGAGCACTTTTTCAAGGCCAGGTTTAGATTTAGGATTTGGGTTTAAGGTTAAATATATAATTGGGATCAGATTAAGGGTTTGTGTGGGGATTTAATCTGCACATTACAACACAGTAAAATGCATACACAGGGCTTTAAAGAGCTACCTGCATTTTAAGCTTCAAAGTTCATTAATCTCACAACCTATCAGATTGATCTTGCTGCCAGGTTTAGTACTGATTCAGGGTGATGAAACGTGACGTTCATCAGGGGAAAAGGGTGAGACACTACAGGCAAAAACATTTGTTCATGCATGGTCAATTTTGAGAATTGGGGCTATTTTGCGGCAATAACATCGTCTTCTTTCAGACTAGTGGAAACAAAACATCCAAAATACACATTTTTTGTTTATTCATTTGTCTATTTGCACCTGTATTAATGGCTAATTAGCATTAGATAATTCCTAGTTTCCATATTTAACATACAATTTCAGAAAATTTGTTATGCAGAAAGAGAACAATCTTAATGTAAGTAAGTTTCATGGTGATATATATTAGTTAAATGCTCTACCGTATTCACTTGTGATATTAATTTAGAATGAATAGCTGAATAGCTGAGTTGAGTGAATGAGTTACAAAAAAATAAACACAAATTTGGAACCTGGCTTTTTCAAATAATCAGATTTTCTGTTCTGGAGAATTATGCAAGTTAGTGCACGTTTAAAAAGATGGTGCGCCATTTGCATATTTAAACAAAACAGATCAGAACACTTGAAAAAATGAATGTTTTAATCAGTTGGGGAAGTTACATGGTGATATCTATTAGTTCAATTGTTAACCTTATTCTCCTGATGTCTCTCCTTAATTTGCCAACGTTGAGTCCTCTCAAGGATTTAAGGACAAACCAGATCAATTTGTGTTTGTCTAAATGTATGTTTGTGCGTGAGTGTGTTGACTGCACGTGTACTCACTTTGGGTGTGGGACAGGAAGCGGTCGAGAGGCGGGACGTGGCCTGGGCGCGGGGCGACTCCGAGGGCGTGGTACTGAGAGAGGCCGTGTCCCTGGGTAACACCTGCACACCCCGCGAGATAATGGAGTCTGGGATCTGAGATCACACACACAAGCGTATGCAGACACACGTGCATGTAAACACCACACACCAAAGACCCATAGAGGCAGCACACATACACATACTGATATTGAAGATCCAGGAAGACACACACACATATATATATATTATATATATATAGATGCTACAAGCCTATTTACAGACACAAAAAACAGCCGAGATGACACATAATTCAACATCTCTAATGTGTAATCATATGTCAAACTTAAACGACCACGCCTACTCACAGGGTTGATGAAGATGAAAGACAAATGACGTCAAAAATGTGACATGATGATGACAAATAATGAGATATCGGGGGGCGGAGTCTTACCAACATCCTTCTGTGACTGGACAATGAAGTGGGATGTTACCCTGACAACAGAGCCACAAAGCAGGGTCCAGGCTGCAGACAGGGCAGGATAGGATGATGGGTATGGAGAGATACTTGATGTTGCATGTAAGTGCACAGAGTAGACACACACCACACATACACACACACTCACACACACACACACACACGCACACACACGCAAACACACACGCAAACACACACGCAAACACACACTCACACACAGATGTATGTGGAGACACACAGTCATGATATATGATACACAGAGATACATGACAAACTTATGTTAAGGAACAGATTGACTCTTTTTCAACTCAAGAGGTTCTAACCTTGATGTAGCTCACTTTTTAATAACAGTAAACTCACAGTGTGGTCAGATGTGTCCTCATAATGATGAAAATAATCAGAAAGAATATTTTACGTTGGGTTTATTGACTTTACTTTTACATCGCTTCTGGCAAAGACGAAGCCGGGACAAATAAATAAAGTCAATAAAACCTGAAAGAAGGCTTGCAATCCCACAAGTCCACACATCTGGACCACATGCTGTACATGTATGTCCAACTAGGCCAGTCTCATGTCAAACGCTTCTGCAAATGCAGCTTTTGTTTTCCAGATTTTGGAAGCTATAACAGCCATATAACATTGGGAAAGAGACGTATATAAATAAGCAAATTCTTTTTTTCAAGTAAATCAACTTCCTAGTCAAACACTCAAAGCCCTCATTTAAATCATTAGGTCCTTAAAGTTTTAAAATGCACAAATAGCCAAATCCAAATATTTTCCTGTTCATGTGAATGAGACAGAAGCTGGACCGAGAGCTGGGAGGCGGGGTTAAGCATTTTATTAGGGTATGGGTTGAAAAACAGTAAATCTATCATCTAAAGGTGCTACCTGTAGCATTTTTGTCATCGATGTGTTATGTCCACAGTGATTGTGTACCTTTGGTATAATAAAGAGCACTCTGTAATTATCACTTTCTAATTTAAGTGCTATCAAACATCCAATCCACAGTACAGTAATTCCTGTTAAAATGTATCTGCCATAGATCAAAACAACAACAGGTCTTTGTATTTTGTATGTTGAGTAAATGTTTCACGTAAACATGAAAGAAAAATAATCAATTACAAAATATCAAACCCTTAGAGTCCCTTTTGATTACTGTAAACAAATATCCTTCAGCTTGCCCTGTGTATTGTTCCGTGTCAGTCGGACACATTGTAAAAATTGCACTATCCCTTTAAGACTACATTTACTACAAAAACCACCGTTGCCTGTCAAAGATGTTGGTAGTCTGCCATCAACCTTCCCTGTGTTTCCTTTGCCTTTACTGAAGAAACTAACTTCTTGCTTGTTTGTAGACCAGCTTTCTCAGGAGATCTAAACTCCTATTTAGATGCTGTACTGTACATAATGTTTATAGTAATGACAGTCTTGCCTTTAAATCATTTCGGTAAAGACTTATTGATGTTAAAATGCTACCTGCAGCACATTGCTTGTATGAATGACATGTATGAACGTGTATAGATGACCGTTTGAAATGGATGTAGTCAGATGAAAACTGCAACAGCAAACCCCTCCCCCCTCTCCTCTCCTCTCCTCCGCCCTGGTACCTTGGCGGCGATGGATGCGGCGGTGATTTGGGAGGAGGAGCTGTCCTCGGTGGACGCCACACCGCTGTCCTTCTTCTCCTCGTCCTCCTCCTCGCACTGCACGCCCTTGTCCTCAGTGTGGCAGCAGGGCGAACTGTTGAGTGGCGGCGAGAGGGGCGGTGGTGGCGACGGCAGGTCCTCCAGCTCGTCCGCCGCCTCCTTTACCTTCACCACTGCGTCCCGCAGGAGGTCGATGGCGTGCGGCAGCGCCGGCAGGATGAACTGGAAGCATTCCTGGAAGTGTAGGACAGAGCAAAGGACAGAGACGTGCAAGAGAAAGAAAATATCAGTGACAGGGATTTGTTGTCTTGAGTCGATATTTAAATAATGGCAGTCTCAAACAATAGCAGCCAGAATGAACAAAATGTAGTTAAGGTATTTGAGATCTACAGTACACTGCTATAACCAGTTATACTGTTATCTACTCAGTCCTATGTGACAAATACAGTGTGTGACCCTGCTTGAGGCAGTAGAATCACAAGCAGAGATTTCCTCTTCAGCCTCAGCAGATCACAGCGCCTCCTTCTGGCCACATCTATAATAGCTTGAGCTCGTTCCTTCCTCCCTCTATCTCCTTTCCCCTCTCCAGTGCCTCTCTGGGTGTCAGTGTGCCTGTGGGCTCCTCGCCAAAGCTAAATGCTCCATTCTCCTCACTCCCAAGACAAGAGCTAATCTGTGAAATTATTTATCTTCCTGTGTATTTTAAGCATTGAGAAGATACATTATTAATCGCCCCCACGCTTTACAGTATCTACGCCGGCTGCAAACTGGCATTCTGGGCAACCTCTCCACTTCACGTCCCATTTTATGTGTGCATATCACAGGCTGGATTAAACATGACAGTGTTAACCTTGATTTGACTGAATTTAAAATCACATAGATCCACACTGGGATGCATGCATGCCTAGAATAGCATCCTCCACCACTGTTCATGAAAAATACAAAATAAAAAAAGAGAGCAGTGAGACTCCTTGGATTGGGAGATGAAAGAGATTGAATGGGTTACCACGAACCCGCCAGCCCTGCTGTGTAGCCGCGAGCTAACCTCTCCACCCATACCCCCCCCCGCCTTCACTCACACACACCTCCCAAACCCCACAGTAGACTGTTTATGCCTCTTGCTGGGGTATTAGAAGCCCACATCTGAACATTTTGGAAGACGGGGAAAGGAGAGTTGGGCTGAAGTGGGGAAGGATTGGGCAAAAGAAGGAGTGAGGATAGTGTCAAGAGCCTGGAGACATTCCTCCTCTCCCCCTTTTGTGCTTTCATTCCGTGCCGGGAATTTTTTTAGGTACGTCAGGAGTGTTTTTTTTTTTTCCTCTGCTCTTATTCTCTGTTTTGTCCTGGAGGAGAGTAACTGTCAAGAACACTAAAGAGCAGAATCCCTGGATATACTGCCAGCGGATGAGAAACACAAACGAGAGTGAAGGATGGAGGATGAGGGGAAGGCACTGCTGTTTTGAGAGAGGAGGAGGGGGGGGGGGGGGGGGGGGGGGTGGGGTGGGGAGGGGGGGGGGGGGGGGGGGGGAGGTTGCAGGAGATGACGAGAGAGTATGACAGACAGAGAGAGAAAGGGAAAGAGTGAGTGAGACAGGGAGGACGAGATCTCGAGATATAAAAAGAGACAGAGTTGGAGAGACAGAGATTCGGTAAGAGAGAGCAAAAAAGAAACCGCAACAAAAAGAGAGTTCGATGTAAATAAAAAGTAAAGAAGAGAGAGTGAGGAAAGCAGAGCAATTAAGAAAGAAATGGCCACTTGTGGGGACGTGCTTCAATTTCTAAACCACAAAAGTTGCAACAAACGCAACTTAAACTAGTGCAAAAGTCAGGGCCCCCGAATTTTAAGGACCGTTTTTATATTGTCAATATGGACCAGTTAATAATAGACTATGGGATAGGAGGGCAGAAAAAATCTGTTTCTGCCACACAAAGTCCTGTTTACTTCAGCCACAAGTCCCTCTAAACATTGCGCTTTCATTGAAATTCACTGCAAAATGATTTACTTCTTCAATCCTGTAAACAGTCTTCATATAAAACAAAGACAAAGGGGTTGTATTCAGTTGAATCAGGGACATATGGGGCTGGAAATACACATTGCTTTGTTTTATGGGTTAACAAGTGTAACGGGTTGAGAACCTGGACGACTTCCTTTTTATTAAGAATCAGTATCCTGTTGTGCTTGTGACTGGGGGTAAGTACCTGACAAATGGTGTAACACAGTGATCATATCTCACAGGGTAAATTTGCAATCAGTTCTGTGTTTCCCCCCCCCCATTAGACAGAAATGTCATCACAGTGGGTATAAATGTCTTCCCCACAGGTAAATATCATCACTGCAGGTGGAAGCATCATCACCAAAAGTTAAAATGTTTGGTGATGAAGTCATCATCACATGAGGAAATGTAATCAAAACAAGGAGTGCAGGTAACAAATGCATTAGTGCAGGTATATATGTCATAAGCACAGGAAGACACATCATTGTTGCAGGTGGGAATGAATGTCATTCCTGTGGGTGGAACTGTAGACACCAGCTGGCAGCAACATTACAGCTGCAGGTCCTCATGTGACGTCCAAGAATAGAAACGTCACGGGAGGAAGTCTTTCTTTCCTATCTTTCATCAAAGGTAAAAGTGAGCATGTTTCATAGACTGCAACACTAATACTTTTATTTAACCAACATCTTAATTTCATTTGGATAACATTAAACTGCAGTTTGACCAATTCTAACCCTTTTTAATATCTGTTATCTTTTTGCTATGAAGACAAATTCAAAATGCTTTCAAGGTACACATCAGGGTTATCTCAGATTGGACTTTTCAAATCTTAAACAGAATATCTGTGTTATGAAGTTGGGGTGTGGAGTTTGAAAGATGTGGGCATTTACCTGGCGGGGGAGGTTTAACAAAATGCAATACTGAGTAGCATTATGGGAAATGTAGGATCCAGTATTTGCAAAGCTAAACAACTAAACGTCAGAATATCTCTTCTTCTACTGCTTCGACTTGACTATTCATTTTCGATCTTTCTCTTGTTTCCGATGTGCGTTTTCATTTAAAAACAATTTCTTAATAAACAAGGATTCATGTATACATGAAAGCACGAATAGAACACTCAAAGCTTCCATTCAAAGTCATGATGTTTATAGATCAGACATGCAGACCGCCACCTCTGAGGCTACAAATAATCCTCACTGAAATCATCGACAAAAGGTGAAAACTAAGATAACATCACAATATGGACAAAATGCAAACAACCAGGACATGTACAATACACAAAAGTGTGATTGAATTGTTCACTATCTGACAGCATATGAGAAAGACTTTATCTGCAGTGTAAATTAGGCCAAAGAGGCAAAACATGCTGACACTCTGACGCAAGGCCCTTCGTCTGGCTGGTTCAGCTGGACTTCACCGGTATCTTTATGACAGGAGATCATCGTAATAAAAGCCTGCAGTGGGGCGGCTTGTGCCGTTAACTTTAACTGGGGGTTGATGAGGGAGACACTAATATGGCAGCAGATGGGGGAGAGGTGGCGTAATTGATTAAAAGAAATACTAAAATCGATCAGGAGAAGCGGGCGCGTAACGAGACAGAGACAGATGCGCAGGTCAGCACAGCAGAGAGGGAGACAGATGGAGGGGGACACGGAGACAGCAGTGGGTGGACACACACACACACACACACACACACATACAGGTTTACATTACTATACCCAAACATGCTCACACATACGAGAACAAACACACACCCACACATGCACCCTGCAGCTATATCTTTGTCCAGATAGAAATGCATCAAAACACAGAAACTTACAAATGTACCATTAAACAACAAACACAAATATTCTATACTGTAGACATCCGGCACACGCTCAGATCCATACACACATATTACACATGCTGCTTACATAAACACACACCGATAATGACTGCATGTAGATTCATTTATGCATCACAAACAATCTGCAAGTGAGAGTCTAAAGCGAAGTTGACCTTCGCATAAGGAGTCACACTAGCAGCACAATGCTAAGCTAATGCCGTCCACACAAACAGGTCATAGCTGCACTAGTTGCAGTACTGACACAGAGCCAAAGGTTTTCTATGTATCCCTCAATTCAATACTTTATCTTGAGGGCATTTTTTTTAACAAAAGGTAAAAGTGTTAAACTGTTAAAGATCCATTTACTGGGATCTGAAACTGTCCCAATACCAAAAAAGGTGGTTTTGTGTTCACTTTCCTTATGGACAGCATGTGGTGCTTTTATCCAAAAGCGCCTTACAATTTACCCCTCATTCACTCACTGATGGCAGCAGGCGACTATGCATATCACTGGCCTAACCATCAGGTGTTTAGTGTCTTGCTCAAGGACACTTTAACGCGGGGACAGAAGTTCTAATCCTCGACCCAAACGTGCAGTTATTTGAATCACAAAAACAAGCACAGCCCCTGATCTGTCAGCAGGTGAATTTGTTTCTTTCGAAGCGTTTGACTAACTACACCTAACGCTATCATCCACTGGAGAAAGGTCATCTCTTGTGTTTCCTACCTGGGAGCCTTTCTTGCTTCCTGGTAAGTTAATGATGAGCGTCTTCCCTCGGATACCACACACAGGTCTGCAACGCACCGGAGAAAGTTCATATGAATACAGAGTAAGAAAGGGATATTTGCCTCTAGCACCACCTTAAAGCTTTGAGTCGGTGTATCCCAGCGTGCTGCACTTCATCACAGGCACTACATTAACTAACTCACCATTTTGTCTTACATTAAAAGGTGGGATGGTCCCCTCTAATGAACACAATGTATATTATTTATCTATAAGACTCTATTGGAATAACTACAAGTAGTAGAACAGTGATTCAAATGTGAAGTCACAACTTTAGCATGTTCTGCATGTTATGTGTGTTGCTGTGGATTTCTGTGTTTGTCTCTGCTTATACAGTATATGTTTAATCCTGTGCACTGTGGCTTAAATTAATAAATTGAAAATTATGTGAAAAACTTAAGTGTGTTTTGGACGTGTGTCGGATGTGAGGGTGTGTGTTTCTGACCTGGAGAGCATGCCTAGTGGTGTGACGTTGAGAGATCCCATCAGCATCGCCAGAGACATCCCTGGAGCCTCGCGCTCTATCACCTCCTTAGTGGCCTGGAGAGGAGAGAGAAAAAGAGGAGGGTCATTAGTGGGAACATAGTCTAACGAAGCACGTGTCCATCTTAAGTATTTTTTAAACAATGTATTCAAAAAGTACTACGTGAATACGATTAATGTAAACCCTATAGTGTAGTAGAGGAAGGCATTTTAATTAAAAATATTGTCGCCGTTCCTCCTCCCCGTAGTGCTGTTCATATGTAATCAAATTTGAAGTACAGGACAGTTTCATATGAAGAGATGGATGTAACCATTTGATGGACAGCAGTTCCTCATGCTTAGAAAAGCTACTGACAAAATGAAATACACTTTCTACAACAACTACTACTCGTACTACTACTGCTACTATTACAGCTACTTTGGATAAAGGGATCATATTAAAATGTACTTTAAGTTCTGATGTCTGATATAACTTGACTATTTCTGATTTAAATGTTTTCGTTGTGACTCTATAAATGTCGATATAAAAACAAGAACAACCGAACATTCGTTATTCCATTGGGTCCAGCGGCATGTTATCAAGCGAATATGGTTAGAGGAGCAATTTGTTTTATCTCTGCTTGCCGTATCTCTGGGTATTCCTGTTATATGGTGAAAAAGACCTTTAACATTTAACGCATTATATATTGATACGTTTCTCCAACTTCACTTTCAACTCAACTTGCATTTTGACCAATTGCCCTTTATGTCATTTGTCAAAAGCATGTGACAGCCAAGGCTGTAATCCAGAGTGATTTAGAGTGACGACAACAATAGAGAAAAACAACAGAACTTACTTGACAACAATTACGACATTACAGGAAATCAACTCTTAAGAGTAATACCGAATTACTCTTAAGAGTAATACCGAATTACTCTTAAGAGTAATGAGACTGTGGCTAAGTGGATAGCAGGGCCGCCTTTCAATCAGAAGGTCGGCGGTTCGATCCCCGGCTCCGGCTCTGCTAATCGATGTGTCCTTGCGCAAGACACTTAACCCCAAAATTGCTCCCGTAGTTGTGCCTACAGTGTAGAAATGTGATAGATTCTGAATTGTAAGTTGCTTTGGATAAAAGCCTCTGCTAAATGACTGTAATGTAATTAAAAAATATTGGTAAGTCTGTAACAGTCTGGCAGATGACCAAGAAATACTGGTAATTGTCACACACTCTTACAACAACCTCCAGAATGCATGTCTTGACTAAAAACACATTGACTGCCCTTCAAATATTGATTTAAAATCCCTCTCGCATGATCCATCTTCTGATGTAGGCCGGAAAATCCTTATCTGACCTGTCTCCTCCCCATCTCCACCCATTAGCAATCAATAGAGGAATATGTATAGGAATATGTCAGCCAGTGCAATAAAAAAGATTAATGTTGAATTCATTGATACTACAGCCTGGGGGTTTATCCCAGCAGCGATATGGTTTCCATGGTGGTGGTGTTGCCAATTTCACCATCTTTGCAGGGGACATGTGAACAGATGCATTTGTTTGTATGTGTGAGCGTGTATACATGTGTCGGACCGCGGTTGATACGGCACGTTCTCGACAGATAAGATAACGGAGAAGATAGTGCCTTCTATTCCAGCTGTGTGTGTTGGGTGCCCTTGAGTTGAATGACACTTCAAACGCACCATTAGCGAGGGAGAGGGGAGAGAAAAGACTTCAAAGAGATGAGGAGCCACTGATGAGCATCGTGGGCTTGGACTCAGGAGAGGGTTGGAGATGGAGAGAGATGAGGAGAGGGGAAAGAGTGTGGGAGGGACGGAGGAGGGGTAAGATAGAAGCAAGAAGGAAGAGAGGGTGAGAGAGGGTAGGGGTGAGGTTTTTGAATGGGAGAAGAGGAAGACAAAATTGTTTGACACAACAGGCATGCATTCAGACAAAGTATAAAAGACAGACTGTATGTTTTGGGTAATATTCTGCTTTTTTGAAAAGAAATCTTAATAATATGTATGATGCAGGTAAGAAAAGGGGGAGTACTTTGAGTGCATGTGATGAATTCTAATACATTTCTTTATTGCATTTTCTCTGCAAGCATGCAACATGAAAGTAGGAACTGCTTTTATTGATCTATTTATTTCGGTGGTTTCATTCACCGTCAGTGATCTGACGCAAAGCATGCATTTTTAGGGAAAGTTCAGTTCAAATGTTTGAGCCCATACGTCTTTCATGCTTCTTGAGCTATGGGCTAATCACCAGGAATCAATGTACTTGAAGAAAGCAATTAATCGAGAATATTAAAGAAAAATGTAACTCAAGGCAAAACAACAAAATATCTGCTGCAAACGTAATGAGCGAACAAGCACAGTCTCATACAATTCTGAGAGAAAATGAGATGGCAGTAATGGAGTAGAATACATAATTACTATGAATTCCTACAAAATCATTAGTACTGAAGTATAGCAGGACGACAAACCAGGCTCCAAGCCATTAAGATGTTGAGATAAAAGGTAACTCAGCTACATTTGCGCTGGTTATGTTCCTGCAAATAGAGTGAAATGGACAAAACCACCACCTATGAAAACCAAATGTGCCCCTGCTGGTTTATATGTAATGATATCCCATCTCACAAATAATGTAAAGAGTAAAGACATCTTACTTCTCTCCTGCTTCCAGCTAAACAGAATACAGTCATATGTGTCTCGTACAGCCTTCAAACACACAGAGACAGACCGAGAGACGTCCTTGTCTCCAGCATACAGGGTTGAATCAGATAGCAGGTATTATCAGTGACTACAGTTTGTACGTGTCTTTCCTCTTCCAGCAAGGCTGCTGCTGTCTACCATGATTGATGAGGACCAATGATAGTGCTCAGAACCACAGCTCATCCCCTGCCAAATTGCTTGTATGTGGGTGTGTGTGTGTCTGTGTGTGTGTGTGTGTGTGAGTGAGGTAGGCTGAGTACATGCAACAGAAGTATAGCACTGCAAATCCCCCCAAAACGGTTTTTAATCAAAGTTCTGTGGTTAACAAGTGTGTGTGACATAAGGAAGAGATGAGAAAGACTAATCGTAGATCCTTACATGTACTGTATATAGAGTAGTATACTGCCTTCATGGTATTGTAGACTGTGTATATTCATGCAAGTATTTGTTTATGAAAGTCTTCACACACTTTAAAACTTTGTATTTTATGAAACAGACATTTCGTTTCAAATCGCGTACTTATTATTTTTTTCTCACTTTTAGTACATACTGCAGCTTCGATTGGGACATACTACTACTTCCTCATAACATTGTACCTTGAACTTTGACCCTCTTGCTCATATATGGATTGTGGGTCGGAATAGCCAGAAAAGCATGCTAGTTTACACACTGCAAATGCGACCGGATGCAGTAGGACATCCGGTTGTTTTTGTCATACTGCGTTTGTCATACTACGTAATGATACATACTAAATACTTTTCTGACACACTAAGTATGGTAGTGTGGGTATTGGAAACCAAAATAATAGATGTGAACATAACTACGTTAAACCAGTTTGTAAAGCCTGCAATGACAATTTATTTGTTTTAAAATAGAAGATGTTAATGTGTCCTAGAGTTTCCCCTTTTACTGAACTGGTGGGGTAGAAACAATGAATATGGCGAGTATATATATGTGAGTTATAGTACAAAACTTGAGGTGATTACAGTTTTAGTACTGAAAGATCCCGACGATCTTATTGGATAAGAACGGTGTACTTAACCTTTATAACCCGAAATATTTAGTTAATCTGATTCCAAGTATAAGATAATTTGTGTCAGTACAATAAAGATTAGGAAACCTGACATTGTGTGTGTAGACCTCCTCTCCCGAAGTTTATTTATTATACTATCACCAGACACCTGACACCCATTATTTAGAATTGCTTGCTACATGATCCCATATCTTTTTCAAAAAAGTGAATCAATAAGGATCTAACTTCTGCCTCTTTATTTCCCATGTGGCCATGGGGCTGATTACACTGTGTTAATCAGTGGCGCAACACATGGGTGTAATCAGCAAAAACGGGCTGAGGTTCTCTGAGTGAAGTAACAGGAGGGATCTAACGCTCAACTGCCTTTTCCTCTGACACATATCAGCAGTATTATCAGTGCACAGTATCATCATAGCTCTATTGCAGTTGTTTATTACTTCCCTACCCTTAACCTCTTACCAAACCATATTTCACCCCAAGTTGTCCTTGTTGATTCTTATGTAACATGTTCCTGGCTGTATTTTAATACAACTCTTAAGCTTCATTATACAATGTACATCCTTATGAAATACTACAAACAATAAGACGCAAATGAATGCCATGCTCGCTGTCAGAAAACCCACCTCTGGTGTGACGTCTCTCGGAGCGAAGCCGGTGCCTCCGGTGGTTAGGATAAGGTTAAGTTCCTTTTCATCGCACCAATCCACCAGTGTCTCCTGTTCACACACACACACACAAAAAATTATTTGTAATTGCGTAACTCATTATTATGGATAAAACGACAGAAAGACAGAGACAGGTACCTTGATTTCGTCTAGCTCATCTGGCACTATCTTGTAGGCCGTGATCATACCCCCCAACCTGAGAAAGGTAAGAAAGACATTAAATTACAGATACAGTTATTAATGTATTAGATACTTTATCAAAATCCGATATTGTCTTGCTACCGTTTCACTGGCAGGTTAAAAAGGTCAGCGAGGGAACTATGGACCTTGTCAGAGGTCAGAGTTTTCTTTAACAAGCAGAAGTGGAGAGCTTAAACTCAGCATGACCAGTTGAAGGAAAGTCTCTTTTGTCCATATCCACTGTCCTGCTGCCATAGGCGGAGTATCCAAGTGGATCGGCGCATTAGGTAACAGTCCTGGGATATTGTGGGCTCACCTCTATATTTCTCAGACTAATACAGCAGGAAACACCCCTCAACAAAAGACCCAAACATGCACCTCGAAATTAAGACTTTAAGGTAACCGTACATCTGTCATTTAAGAGAATGCAGGCTTGTGAAATCATGATGGTGGAGAAAAAAGAGAACAGATGACAAAGACTTAAAGTATGAGAGAGAGAAAGACAGTCGAGTGAAACAGGAAGAGAGAGAGAGACATAGGAATATAACAGCAAGTAAGGAGGAGAGAGAGAGCGAGAACGCCCTTGAACATCCCCTCCTCAAAGGATTTTCCACAGGACGGCCTACTGAAGAGGGAGCTCTGACAAGGACAGAGCAGCAGCTGCTGCGGCTGCTGAACAGCGATCCATGGCGACCTCCTGTGGCCACACCGGGAACGACACCCCAAAAAGAACAACCCCAGGCTCAAGGTGAAGGCTCTGCACAGACACCCCTTATGTAACCCTTTTCTTTTTTGAAGGAGCACTATTTTTGGGAGACTACTGCATCACGTTTCCCCCGCGCGTCAGCCGCTTAAATGACACGAGGCCCTCCCTCAGACAAATACCCAATGAACTCCGTGAACATTAAAGCATCTGCTATTTTTCTGCATTTCTGATGCCTTTATACCACGCACAAACTCTCGCTCCTCACACCCCGAGTTAAAAAAAAAAGACAAAATCCTGCACCCCCGGAAGCATCATTCACCAACTCCATCGGCTCTGCTCAGTTTTCAAACTGTGCAACGGAGCAAGCGAGGGAGACACGCCAAGCAAGCAAGGAAACGCCGGAATACTGCAGCGAGCATGCATGCAGCTTCTCACAAAAGAGGCAGAGAAAAGTCGGAGAGAATCATTTAAGAAGCACTTTTTCATGAAACACTGCACATGCAGGGCTTCTCAGAGCATCCAATAACTTGTGCACCCACACACAACATCTACACACACACACACACTCCCCCTGCTGACATGTGATGGCACGAGTGATTTACTTCTCTTGATGTGCGCTGTGGTTATGTGTGTGATTGTGTTCATGCATGTGCATTTGTCTGTTTATGAGTTTGTGTGTGTGTCTGTGTTACACCTCGGGAGAGTAAAGGAGCTGTCAGGACCAATCACCTCTCCCTCTCCTGGGGTTTTTATGCCTCTCTGTTTCAGCCCAAATGAAAATATGCTCAACACAAATAACTAGGGTTCCTTCCCACCGTTTCCTAGGCAACCCCTCCTGCCTGAAGCCTCTTAGTTGCTGTGTTGTTCATCGTGAGCGTGTGGAGAGTTTGTGTGTGTGTGCCGGTTTGTATTTTGTTTTTTTTTTGTTGTTGTCACTATCGGGGATGCCAATTCTGTGCGACGGCAGCAATATGTTGTTGACTGGACATTTCTGAGTCTGTTGCATGTTCATGAAATATCTTTGAGGCATGATGTAATTTGTGTAGTCATGTGTGCACGTATGCCCATGTCTATAAACCCCAAAATGTATTACAGACACATGGGCATGCACACTTATACAGTGTATAACAGCTGCAGTATATGTGAATGTGTACAGCGTTCTTGTGGATGTATTTGAATAACAAACAATATGTGTGTTTGTGTGTACTGCATTGTATCGCTATGTGTACACTATACACACCACATGCAGTGTGCACACAGTGATGTATACATGTGTGCTATGTATGTGTATGTATAATTCTACATGATGTATGCTAACTAGGTGTGTCAGTTTAAGAGTATATACAGTACATGTGTGTATATACAGCATGTATCACTGTAGGTATACTATATGTGTTTTCTTATGTATGCATATACATGTGTACATATACATTATGGGTTATACAGCAAAGTGTTTCTATATTTAGCCTACTCTCATTCAAGCAAACGAGTTGGACAAAATAATGGGAACACCTGTCAATGTGACACAATACAGTTCATTAGCAGCACAAGCTACAGCCTCCAAAATAACAGTTTAATCAACACCTCTCTAATAATGTCAAATCAATCAGAGCTTTGTAGGCAGAATAGGAATGTAGTTGTAATTTTACAACCATGAAACAAATAGCGAAAGAAAGTTGGGATACCATATGGACCACTTCAACAGAACTGCAACGCTAGACCACTGCTTGGGTCCATGTTTACTTCCTGTCCGTTGATGTCATCCACATACATGGCAACAGGAAATTAACTGCGACGCATTTGGAATTCATTTACAACCGTGATATATGGTCTGCATCTTCCACGGTTCAATTGCAGCTGGGGATCTTTGTTGCATGTGTGTGTGTACATGCATGCAGATACAGTGATGTGTATGTATGCATATATGTGAATAGGTACATGTATGAGTATGTGCATGAATGTGTGTTTCAGCATGACTGGCTTCTTTGCAGATAGAGTGCTTAGCTGTATTTTGGTGGATGTGCTCTGAATTGAGGGAAGCCTATTAGAGGGGAAAGGGCCTGCAACATTTTAATCTCCAACACCCATCTATGTCTCTTTCTACTGCAGGGGGTTACGACATATAAAGCTCTTCCTCAAACTGCAGGCCGGAGGTAGTCAGCCTGGAATAAAGGCTTTTTGCTCGAGGTGTGGACAAATCCTGATGCGGGCGGAGGAAGGAATGGAAGATGGGGGGTGGGGGGGGGGGGAAGAGCACGGCAGTAGTTTTGGCCTGAAAGCCTGGACGCCTTGGCCAAATCTTTCTATGAATAAAAGACGAGCATAGAGAGGAGGATAAAGAGAGAAAGACGGGATGAGAGAGAGAGAGAGAGAGAGAGAGAGAGAGAGAGAGAGAGAGAGAG